CTCTCACACACTCTCACTCTCACACACACACTCTCACTCACACCCTCACACACTCTCACTCACACTCTCACACACTCTCACTCACACTCTCACACACTCCACTCACACTCTCACACACTCCACTCACACTCTCACACACTCTCACTCACACTCTCACACACTCCACTCTCACACACTCCACTCACACTCCACTTACACTCCACACACACTCTCACACTCTCACACTCTCACACTCTCACACACACCCTCACACACGCACTCACACTCCCACACCACTCACACTCTCACACACTCTCACTCACACTCTCCCACACACTCTCACACTCTCACACACGCACTCCCACTCTCCCACACTCCACTCACACTCTCACACACTCCACTCACACTCTCACACTCTCACACACTCCACTCACACTCCACTTACACTCCACACACACTCTCACACTCTCACACACACCCTCACACACTCTCACTCACACTCTCACACTCACACACAAACCCTCACACACGCACTCACACTCCCACACACTCCACTCACACTCTCACACACTCTCACTCACACTCTCACACACACTCCACTCACACTCTCACACACTCTCACTCACACTCTCACACACTCTCACTCTCACACACACTCTCACACTCTCCCACACTCCACTCACACACTCACACACACTCTCACACTCTCACACACTTCACTCACACTCTCACACACACCCTCACACACGCACTCACACTCCCACACACTCCACTCACAATCTCACACACTCTCACCCACACTCTCATACACACTCTCACACTCTCACACACGCACTTCCACTCTCCCACACTCCACTCACACTCTCACACACACTCTCACACTCTCACACACTCCACTCACACTCCCACTCACACTCTCACACACTCCACTCACACTCTCACACACTCTCACTCACACTCTCACACACACTCTCACACTCTCACACACTCACACACTCACACTCTCACCAACTCTCACACACTCTCACACTCTCAAACATGCACTCACACTCCACTCACTCTCACACACTCACAAACTCCACTCACACTCTCACACACGCACTCACACTCTCACACACGCACTCCCACTCTCCCACACTACACTCACACTATCACACACTCCACTCACACTCCACTCACACTCTCACACTCTCACACACTTCACTCACACTCTCACACTCTCACACACTCCACTCACACTCTCACACACTCTCACTCACACTCTCACACTCTCACACACTCCACTCACACTCCACTCCCACTCTCACACACTCACACTACAGACACACACTCTCACACACCCCACTCACACTCTCACACACTCCACTCACACTCCATTCCACTCACACTCTCACACACTCACTCTCACACTCCACTCACACTCTCACACTCCACTCACACACTCTCACACACTCTCACACACTCCACTCACACTCTCACATACTCCACTCACACTCTCACACACTCCACTCTTACTCTCTCACACTCCACTCACACTCTGCAGAACAGGGGGCACAACAAACACACTCCACTCACACACTCTCACACTCCACTCACACTCTCACACACTCTCACACACTCCACTCACACTCTCACACACTCCACTCACACTCTCACACACTCCACTCACGCTCTCTCACACTCCACTCACACTCTCACACACTCACACACTCCACTCACACTCTCACACACTCCACTCACACTCTCACACACTCCACTCACACTCTCACACACTCCACTCACACTTTCACACACTCCACTCACACTCTCACACACTCCACTCACACTCTCACACACTCCACTCACGCTCTCTCACACTCCACTCACACTCTCACACACTCTCACACACTCTCACACACTCCACTCACACTCTCACACACTCCACTCACACTCTCACACACTCCACTCACACTCTCACACACTCCACTCACACTCTCACACACTCCACTCACACTCTCACACACTCCACTCACACTCTCACACACTCCACTCACACTCTCACACACTCCACTCACACTCCACTCACACACTCCACTCACGCTCTCTCACACTCCACTCACACTCTGCAGAACAGGGGGCACAACAAACACACTCCACTCACACACTCTCACACTCCACTCACACTCTCACACACTCTCACACACTCTCACACACTCCACTCACACTCCACTCACACACTCCACTCATGCTCTCTCACACTCCACTCACACTCTGCAGAACAGGGGGCACAACAAACACACTCCACAATGAAAGGTCGTCCGAGCCGGTATTCGAACCCAGGGCCTCCCTTGCTGTGAGGCGCGCGTGTTACCACTGCGGCCACTGATTAAATGTTCATCCCGTTGTTTTTGAGTGCAGAGGTTTTGCACATTTACGTGAAGCAAATCTGTTTTTCCAGTACAATCATGGGCCATGTGCTTTCCAGGTCTCAGTTTAAGCCACTTGTGCATCTGATTTTAAGTCTGGCCCTAATTCCTGGCTTTTAGTATCAGGAATCTTATTATTGTGAGCACTACGAGTGTCACTGTTTTTTTGAAGGCACCACTTGGGTTAACGTGCAAGGCTTGGCTGGTGAGCATGAAATGAATTAATGTAGCATCGTGTGTGTTACAAGGTAATGAGTGTGGCTCTTTAACAGTAGGCACAATATACATCTGTTCGGTCATTATTATTATTATTAGTTTTACAATTTAACCTTGATATAATTACAACTCTTGGGAGCGTGCCCAGTTGTTCTTATATCCGAAGTAGTGTGCTTATGTCCAAAGTTGTCCTTTGCCTCCCCCCCCCCCCTGTCCCACCAGTGTAATGTCAGCATGAGTCGCCTATATCAGAACTGTGCTCATATGGGTTGTATAAAAAACAACATTTATATTTGTTTTACGTGGAGGGACAGGCGTGGGAAGGAGGCGCATTGTCCGCTTGTTTATTTTGCTCCTCGTGTTCTCCACAAACGACGCTAACGGCTGTTCTGCGTCGCGCATTGCATTGTTTCGCGTCGAACGAGGACCCACATCGAAGCAGAGAGCGCTCCTTGCCAACGAGCATCCGGCAGTCCACACCGAGCGTGGCTTCAAGCGAGCCCGACTCGGAGTGTCGACGCCGGTCCCGGAGCTTTGGCTTCCGTTGAACCAATGCTGCTGAAACTTTGCCCTCCCAGTACAGTTAGGGGAAAAATGTATTTGATCCCCTGCTGATTTTGTACGTATGCCCACTGACAAAGAAATGATCAGTCTATAATTTTAATGGTAGGTTTATTTGAACAGTGAGAGACAGAATAACAACAACAAAATCCAGAATAACGCATGTCAAAAATGTTATGAATTGATTTGCATTTGAATGAGGGAAATAAGTATTTGACCCCTCTGCAAAACATGACTTAGTACTTGGTGGCAAAACCCTTGTTGGCAAACACAGAGGTCAGACGTTTCTTGTAGTTGGCCACCAGGTTTGCACACATCTCAGGAGGGATATTGTTCCACTCCTCTTTGCAGATCTTCTCCAAATCATTAAGGTTTCGAGGCTGACGTTTAGCAACTCGAACCTTCAGCTCCCTCCACAGATTTTCTATGGGATTAAGGTCTGGAGACTGGCTATGCCACTCCAGGACCTTAATGTGCTTCTTCTTGAGCCACTCCTTTGTTGCCTTGGCCGTGTGTTTTGGGTCATTGTCATGCTGGAAACCCATCCACGACCCATTTTCAATGCCCTGGCTGAGGGAAGGAGGTTCTCACCCAAGATTTGACGGTAAATGGCCCCGTCCATCGTCCCTTTGATGCGGTGAAGTTGTCCTGTCCCCTTAGCAGAAAAACACCCCCAAAGCATAATGTTTCCACCTCCATGTTTGACGGTGGGGATAGTGTTATTAGGGTCATAGGCAGCATTTCTCCTCCTCCAAACACGGCGAGTTGAGTTGATGCCAAAGAGCTCCATTTTGGTCTCATCTGACCACAACACTTTCACCCAGTTGTCCTCTGAATCATTCAGATGTTCATTGGCAAACTTCAGACGGGCATGTATATGTGTTTTTTTGAGCAGGGGGACCTTGCGGGCGCTGCTTCAGTCCGTCACGGCGTAGTGTGTTATCAAATGTTTTCTTGGTCACTATGGTCCCAGCTGCCTTGAGATCATTGACAAGATCCTCCCGTGTAGTTCTGGGCTGATTCCTCACCGTTCTCATGATCATTGCAACTCCACGAGGTGAGATCTTGCATTGAGCCCCAGACCGAGGGAGATTGACAGTTCTTTTGTGTTTCTTCCATTTGCGAATAATCGCACCAACTGTTGTCACCTTCTCACCAAGCTGATTGGCAATGGTCTTGTAGCCCATTCCAGCCTTTTTTTAGGTCTACAATCTTGTCCCTGACATCCTTGGAGAGCTCTTTGGTCTTGGCCATGGTGGAGAGTTTGGAATCTGATTGATTGATTGCTTCTGTGGACAGGTGTCTTTTATACAGGTAACAAGCTGAGATTAGGAGCACTCCCTTTAAGAGTGTGCTCCTAATCTCAGCTCGTTACCTGTATAAAAGACACCTGGGAGCCAGAAATCTTTCTGATTGAGAGGGGGTCAAATACTTATTTCCCTCATTAAAATGCAAATCAATTTATAACATTTTTGACATGCGTTTTTCCGGATGTTTTGTTGTTATTCTGTCTCTAACTGTTCAAATAAACCTACCATTAAAATTTTAGACTGATAATTTCCTTATCAGTGGGCAAACGTGCAAAATCAGCAGAAGATCAAATACTTTTTTTTCCCTCACCGTAGGTGGGCCGTGTGGCTGACGGGATGTGTGACGAAAAACAACTCAACAAATCACGCGGATAGACAAATGTTGTGAGGAGGAGTGTTGTATCGCCTGCCCCTTTTGATATCATGCTTACATTAGGTGCGCTTATACCCAACTTCTGCCATTATTGGGAGGTGGTAGCAACTCTGGTCTTCATTGGCTTCTGTCCGTGGTCCTTAACCGTCGTCACACATCCAGGATGGGCTCACACCCACGCACCTCAAGAAGGCAAAGCTCATCTTCTTCTACACTCGCTACCCCAGCTCCAACATACTCAAGCTCTACTTTCCCGACGTCAAGGTGAGCACTCACCTGCATCCTCACCCGCTCCCTCACCTGCGCTGTCACCGACGATGCAAGATTTTAGCGCTCGCCTCTGCGCAAGCCCGAATTCTCAATCGACACGCCTGACCACGCTTGCACAGCGTAACGATGATGCTTCATTTGTAGCAACAATCGAATCTCGCAAATTGCATCTAAAAACACCGTAGGATGTTGTGGCACGGAGGTGCTGGAAAACCACAGAAAAGTTTGGATGGCACGAACCTTTTGCCCAAGCTTTGTGATCCTCTATTTGTATTTTTGGACAACTCCATTCGCGAGCTGTAAGCAAACCTCTCCACGTTCGCATTGACCCGCACTCGAGACCCATTGCTGAGGCCTGGCAGGATGGCTCTTTGGTGAGCGCAACTTGACTCGGTCAGAAGGTCTCTGAGTTCGAATCCCAGATGGGATGTGACTTGGCCATTAATGGTCTCCGGGGTCCATAAAAACGAGCACTGCTTTTTGGGAGGGAGCAACAGTGGTTGTACACCTGGAGAGATTGGTCTCTGCACCGGGAATGTGAAATTTACACCGCTCTTTTCGCAGCTGAAATCGTTTGAGCGTGGAGACATTTTAGAAAGTTTTCGTTGTATGTATGTATATATGTTGAACTTCTTTGGCGGCACACGTAGCCAACCGCACTGATCGGAGAACATGTCCATATTTACTGGAAATCAATTTTCCAACAACGTGTATGCATACAAATAACAAAAAATAACATGCAACTTACATCAGTGTTAGTACCGCCGAATTCCATTGATTTACGTCCGATTATTTTTCCCAATTCAATAAAAAAAAATCACTGCATTTTTTTTCCCCCCAGTAGCGTCGCCACTCAAAAGCTGACGCCGTGGTCGTGTCGACCCACCAAGTATCGTTCTCCTGCCGGCCTACTTTTTGTTCCACCCAATTTTACTTCGAGATACACGTGGGATTCCAATGGAAAAATCTAATTCGCCGCGGTGGGCTGCAACGTGCGTCTTTGTTGGTCAAAATGTGGTCTGTGACGCAAGATAAGTGGACCCTCTATTGGCAGGCTGATCAGCATTTCAGATTAACCGGCAGTCGTGCTCACGTACAAAATATACTAAGCGACTGCATTGGCAGTGGTCATGAGCACAAACATATATATTTAACATTTTATTACGACGTTCGTCGTTAATATAGCAACATATATACCGTGCTCGAGTAATATTAAAGGGAATGAAAGTACCATCGTTGAAAACGTGGCTCAATTATATTTGGTACATGTTAACTTTCGACGCTCACAGCATATACAGTAGATGAAGGTCTCGACATTGCCATGCCAGTTCTGAGAGGTATTTATTTTTTAAGATCCTGCATCATGCTGGTCACAGTGAGAGTTGGTGAATGGTGGGGAGGCTCCCACCGGTTCTGATATCAACTCATCACCGATGTCAGCCGTGGCCGGGAATTGAACTCGGTTCACCGGGTTCGTAGCGCTGCACCCTAACCGCTGCACCGCCGCTCCACTGGCGTGCACACAGTTAGTGCAGTGTAACAAACACTGGGCGAATCTCTCGGGGCGTTACGCAGAATGCGTGTTTTCGACGTAAATATATACGTACGTACTATTTTCGTGAAAATAATTATTCATCTTTATATAACGCCTTTCATCGGAAGATCACAGAAGCGCCGCACAACAGAACATTTAAACCCTCTATACGAAACCGGATTGTGGTCTAGCGGTGGGATGTATCTCTCTGCTCATTCCGCTGCACTCCTCCGTTTGTAAACTTGACTCGAGGCAGCCTCGGGCACCTTGGATAAACCCAGAATTAACTTCTAAACCCTAGGAGCTCACTTCGTTTCTGCTGCTGCTGCTGCTGACTTTGTTATTTGAGAATTGTTTCCACCACGATTGTCCACAACGCTGGTTCCTCTCCCCTTTGTGATCTCCAGAACTCAGGAAGACCAGTTTTGACACTTAGTGTCTCATCAACAGAGTCATGCTCGCTTGAAGCAATGCTGGTGAACATGTCAATCTTACAGGCACTTAGACGTAAACATTCTACAATACAAAAATGTGCCTCTATACTATTCAACAAACTTATCGATCAATGCATCGACGTACATACGATCATTTGAATTGAACATGTATGTATGTTGAACTTCTTTCGCACCATACATAGACAACTGTGCTGTGTATGGTGCGAAAGAAGTTCGACATACATACATAAGGAGCTCAGCGATCTAAACGCTTTGCCACCACTCCCGATAAGTGGCCTGGTCAACTTGGCCACGCGCTATTTCTTCCAGTTGAAATTTTGACACGAGCAGTGGCTCAACGCACAATAGGTGCTCGCTGCCAGCATCATGATTCATAATCGATTGTCAGGTCAGGCCACGTAAAGACGGTGGATCGGAGCTCGCTCTATTCATCCTAGCTCTCCTCCCTTGCAAAATAGAAACGATGAACTAAACTAAAAACTGTTTTTTATTTCTACCAGGTAAGGCCCACTGAGCTGTACAGCTCTTTTTCAGAAGTGACCTGGCTGCCGCAAATGATAGCCCAATGAAGTGGCATATCACGTGGAAATGTATGGCAGCTAAATATTCTAAACGTACGCCTTTTGGCGTCCTCTGATCTAACACCGTTTTGAGACTAAGCTCAAAAGAAAACTGCCTCTGGTGTGGACCATTCAGTTTCAAAGACAATGCATATATTATCAGAGTACGTTTTTTGTTTGAATTCTGACCACAAGTACTGTGGTTGATGCAAACATTATTCCTTGTAAAAGGTTTCAGTTTGGTGCTTTAACATCTTAACACCTGTTTTGTTGCCAGAAAAAAAAGGGGAAAACCTATTCTCATATTCTAAACGCATGTTTATAAACGTGGAGGTGAAAAACTGGAGGATCCGGAGAATAATCCACGCGACCACGGGGACAACATGCAAACTCCAAATATACAGGCATCAGGGTCGAGATCGAACCCACGATCTCCTGTATACCAGGGCGAGGTAGTTAACATCTCGCCACCGCGTATCATTTCAGGGGCAAAATGAAGGCAACTAATCACACACACACGCACATATATGTATATCTCACTTCGCTACGAGGGGATTCTGCATCGCACATTTTGGCCTTAGAGCAAACGGCGTACCTGTTTGGGGATGCCACGACCATCTGGTTGTTGCAGATGAAAAGACGGCTGACAATATGTCCTCTCTGCCGCATTGATCACATGCGAAGGCCGTCGCTCTGGCCTATCGGAGAGAGCCGCTCTCTCTATCTAGGTCTATCGCAGGGCTTGCCCATCAATCAAAGCCAATTGTAGAGCTGTTCCCCCTATCAAATCCTATTAAGGGGACTGCTGTGTGTATCGCAGCCATCAAAAGGGCATTTCGTATGGCCCAATACCAGTATCTCGAGTTTCGATACCCCTTGATAAACCCACACTTGTCATTACAGTGAAAGAGTGTTTTTTTTTTTCTTATCGTGTCATGGATGTTTACAAAATATCAACACATATTGACATACCCCGGGTGGAGCGGTGGCACAGTGGTTAGCTCACTGCGACAAACCCGACAAGCCGTGCTTGATCCCCGACCGCTCTGAACCGGTTCAGGCCCAGCGCACGTGCTTTCAGGGACATCACACTAGCCGGCGTGATGAAGTATGGTCAAACAAGCGCCCACAACTGACGCAGAGTAGGGAAGCCCTTCTTCCAGGGCTCAGCTCTGACATCACTCGCCACTGACGTTAGCTTCAGCCGAAATTCGAACCCGGGTCGACGGGTCTGTAGCACGCTGTGCAAATTACTGCCGCCACCCCAAATACTGCCCGAATACTTTTGGAATATACACGGACAGCTGGCTGATGTTGCACCTATCGGTGCTTCCAACTGCCACTCTTTAACAAACAGAGGCCACCAACTGTCTCTCCGCGTTGACGTTTTCCACAATCAAATGGGTCTGTTTTGTTTTTATTCAGATCAATTGATGTACTTGGTATCATTCATATTTAATAGTGTCAATGATTGGAGGCTACACCCGATGTCGGCTAATGGATAAATACAACTGTCTAAACGCCGACTTTCTTCAGACGTACACTTCCTCATGAATCTCTGTCTGTTCTCCAAACGACAATGTAAAATGTGCTCTTGAATTAGATGTAAAAGTATACACATATGAGCATATGAATGCAAAAATGTTTTGGTCCATCAGCCTATTTGCTGTCCAGACCAATATGATCTGGCAGCTAACTTTAAACTATTATAAGTGAAAGAAGGCCCGTTGCCCCAAACGTTATCTGCCCTGCATCATCACAATCGTCCGTGAAATGGGACAGGTTCATGGAGATGGTGGTCATCGCTTTACTTCGCCCCACCCCAATGCGTGCCACTGATCCCTTTCATTCTCATCGCGTAAGAATGGAAGAAGACCACCACCGGCCGGAATAACAAAACAATAACAAAAAAGATCCCCCCCGTGTAGCCTTAACAGACTGTAGGGGCAAGTGCTGTTAGCGAGCACCTATGAAGGCCGGCACGGCACACGAGGGGGTGGGTGGCCAATACCACGCCCGGCCGCCTTTGACTCCCTAGTGGCGATGTTTATAGATCGCACCAGGAACTCATTTGGGGCTGAGTCGACCTAGGGTAGGCCCAGGACCGGTTCAGGTAATCGTCACCGGTGTTGACCTTGAGCGGGAATCGAACCCGCGTCACCAGGTTCGTAGCGCAGCGTAGCGCTAACCGCTAGACGCACACAGCATTCACACACACACACAACCCCTCGACGGCGTAGAGAGAGAGAGACAAAGGAAACTTGTTGCTCTGGGGGGGGGGGGGGTCTTGGTAGGGGGAGAGAGGGGGGGGGGGTGGTTGGTCATACTTCACCGCACTGGTCAACGCGGGTGGGTGAAGTGTGTATCCAGCCTAGAACCGGCTCAAATGTAATAGCCGTGCGCAGGGAACTGAATTCCGGGAGTAGTTGTTCGTAGCAGAGTACG